ATTTAGCATGCCAAACTATAAGACTGGATGAAGAGTTTGAGCTCCGAAAGACACTTACGCCATAAATTCTTTGTTTTCCAGCATGTCTCTAACATAGTCAGCCAGTTTCTTCTGCATTAAAGCAAGTCGGACCCAGGCTCTTCCCTTTCCATAATTGGTCCTATTTACATTCAATTATGAGACAACATTTATAATTCCTGTGCAGACAAATTTGTGCTTCCATCAATTTGGAAGAAATACATTTGATCAAACAATCATCGTTTTCAATATTAAGGGCTGGGGGGAGGGGAAGGGGGCTGTTTGTCACCTTCTGTGCCATTCTTTYAAATATTGTAAACCTACTTCGACTTACTTTATGTTGGGAAGGTTTCTAACACTAGTGGCAATCTCATGTGCGTCTGGTGTAACRCGATCTATAGCTTCCAAGGGTCCCCAGTAGTCACGTCGTTGACCAAGTATATTGCGCTTCACTATGAATTCAACAAATTATTGTTTGAATTGCTATGCAACCAACCCACACAAATATCACAAAGTATATTACAAATAGACAGCTGTCAATCAAAAACAACGGTGGTGCTTAACCAATCAGCTGCCAGATAGTAGTAGGTGTTTGGATAATGCAGGGATGCCAACCCCCGAACTTTTCAAATCTTGAGATACGAAATGATGACGTCATACCGAAAATGACGTTTCATAACATTATCGATGACGATCGCATTTATCAAATTTTGTTATAACTAGTGATTTGATTGGATGTATCTTAACCAATCATATTATAGATTGTATTGTGCAATTGAAAATGGCGGCGGATGGCATGCAGTGTTATTGTTATCAGAAGACTGGGATTTTTGTATTTTTTCAGAACTGAAATGATATGCAAGGTAATTTGAGTTTTAATAGATAAAAAGAGATATTTCAAAAAAAACTGATATATGAATCGTCATTATCCGGGAGATTTAGCGGTAAAATCTTGAGTACCGGGAGAAACTGTCGAAAATCTTGAGACTCCCGGATTATCCAGGAGAGTTAGCATCCCTGATAATGGTCAACACATTAGTCTAAGGGTAACTGTATGTATGTGTGACTTTTTGATAGTTCACATTCAGTAATAGAGCAAGTGACCTCAAGGTCTCTGATTAAATATAGGAAATTGAACTCTTTACAGAGAAATTTAGCTGAGCTCACAAGTAAATCCAGTGATCATTTCAATCAAAACAGCTTATTTTCCATTGTACAATCACAACGTCATTATAGCTTAATCACTTCATAAATTGAATAATAAAATAAGYACTAAGTTGTACTGAATTAATGCGAATWYATTTGCTTTYTATTGTCTAATCTACACTAAGTTGCTCTTTTTAGCACTATTTCGTCAGTACTTTTCGACGTATTTAGTATTTGCACCTTGAGGTCAAAGCTCAAATGAAATTATGAAAAGGAAATTTGAAATAATCTCCATGTTTTACTATTTTCATCGTAGCTGTTGAGTCATATAAGCTAGTCTTCAAATGAGCCATAATTCCAAACATTAACTTACATTTYAAGCCATGTCTGAAGACACTTTCGATGACAACAAAGAATTGCTGRAAAGGTTCATGATCTTCGCCTATAACTTTYGCCARCTCAAGTGCGGATTCAATCAGGTGTTTGATACAAAGCTTGGCAATATTCAATAAATTACATCTCTCAGTCTTCCAATAAAGTTCTTTCTTGCTTGCAGAAGTTGAACCTGAATTGCTAACTGATCGAGTGATTAATTTATTTGATAGTTGGTCTGCATCGTCTTCCTCTCCGAGCGTCGCCATTTTGGTTTAATGGGGTTGCGCGCTGACTGGCAAAACCGCAGGCGAATTCTTGAATTTTGATGACTGGACGTTTTCTTTGTCGCTATTTTTGCACTGATGGAATCCGGTTTTCTTTGTGACCTTTGTTTTCCGTCAAGTAAATCTGATCCAGAGGGGTGTCCAATCCATCACGCCATTGCGCTTTTTCTGATGGGATGTAAGTACGCTCTAGGGAAGTTCGCTTGGGCTATAATCCAGACCGGGTCGTTTCCTCTTTAGCTTTACTGATCTGATTATTTCTCTGATATTTCAATCTCACGCATGAGGGATGGGCAAGGACATTTCCAACAAGGGGTAATGATAAAAAAATAGATCAATGGGTTTTCCTACCAAAAAAGATTAATTTTATTCTTCTATTTTTTTCAAAAACATCTTTAATACACTGCTATTGATCATTAAGCCGTATTATTCCTCATACGCCCGCATATGATTCCTAAGAGCACAGACAATGGCCGACTAATCGTCGGGTATTGCATTAAAGCGTCAAATAGCTATGTGATAACAGCATATATCATGGGTAGAGCTCTGCAGTTCATGACCGGACACCAGTCCTCCACTCCTCCCGCGCTTGTCCCCACCCTTAGAGACCAAAGTCTCGTTTTGTTTTGACTTCAAGAAGAATCTAAACTATGTTAGTTCACAGTTTCAACACTATCTTTCAGAATCAAATATTAAAGGTTATTTTTTACTATAAAAGTCACCTTAGTATTCAAGATATGGAATTATATATATTGAAAACATTATGATGTTAGCTCATTATGCAATAAGTGTATATTCGAAAATATAATGACTAGCGAATCTTTCCCCAGTCGCATAACCATTCATCGCGCTACCGTTTCCGTTAACAGATACGCGCGTATACGTTGCTTACGTTGCRTCTTTCCGTTTCCGTCTGAGATGGAAGTCAGACTAAACGCTTACTTCATTCGTGAAAATGAACATTAAAGATTGTGSGAATCCGTTTTAAGTTCCTAGAATCAATATTCGTCATGTAGAAGTGGTTCCTGTTCCTCGGATGCCTGATGTTTTAGCTCCTTGAGTCGCCTCACCTTYGATTGATAATACTTATTAAAGTTATTCACTACAACAGTCGTCGGCAGCGCAAGTAGCGACGTTACGCCTATTATAGCGCAACAAACGCTGAAAACTTTTCCCATTAAGGTGGTAGTGACCATATCTCCGTAACCTACTGTTGTCATGGTGAYGATGGAGTACCAGAAAGTCGCTGGTATGCTAGTAAATCCGTTCATACCATCCTCACAGTAAAACACTAAACCGCCAAATAARATCACGCTGATTAACAAACAATACAATAATAATCCCAATTCACTTAAACTTGAAAGAATGCTCTTGAAGAAAATTTGAAGACCAAATGAATAGCGATAAACTTTGAACACGCATAGAAAAGGGAGGAATTTTAGAATGTTCCTGATTGGAAAATGGTCTGGAGATAGCARCACRCTGCTGTCAATAGCAATTAGGATGAAATGTGGAGCGAAAGAGAGAAAGTCAATGACTCCCATWGGAAAGAAGCAGTATTTAAGTTTCTCTGGGGCCGTAATAAGACGTGCCAAATACTCCAAACAGAGAAATGAGCTGCACGAAAGACCCAGGAAAAACCAGATTTGCTTAATGCTATCAATGTGAGGAAACTGCGACGTCCTGTTTCTGATTTCGCAGCATTGTACTCGATACATCTGTCGGAATTCTGGTAAAGTTTCCAAGACTTTTACCAAGAGAAACACTACTATAATAAAAAGTAACCAAACTCCGAGGATTTTGCCGTGTAAACTTCCTGTGGGATTCTCCAGTAGGTTCCACATTCGCAGCAAAGGGCCTTCGTGAAGACTCTGACTTTCACGTCGTAATTCAAAATCATAGACGTCAAAATCCATTGGRAGTTGACGTGTGGCAGCTTTTCCTAGCTCGTAGAAAGCCACTTCTTTTCTGAACACATCCTCTGGGACGAAATGTTCGTCYGGTTGAGTAAGCATTCCGTAACTTTGGTARTAGAAAAGAATGCAATCAAAAGAAGCYTTGTCWCGGGGTAAATAATACTCGCATCTATCAGGGTTGTAGAAGTGGGCTCTCTTCTGCGCTGARCCTAATAATGTGTTCGGRAATCTTTCAAGTGTTTCTTCGTACGTTTCAAATCTCTCTCCAGARATATTCARCGTGATACGTCGCTTCCGGGGGTTTATAATTGGTGGACAATCGACGGACCATCGTCGCATCACCCTGCTGTTTCTKCGCGTTCKGCTTGCTCCGTGTTTCGAGGCGTCGAAGGAGTATGGCATTTTGTAGACTCCCATCGGATTCAGTTCCAATTAACTCYCCTGAAATGATGACTATCTTGAAATCATAGCTCCTCGACTTCGTTATTCACAAAAGTTGACAAGTTTTTGTGAGCTGACAAACATTTTGATAAACTAACTTACGCGCGTGACAGCACAATTTCAACAGCGAGGAAATTCAACCATTATACAAACACCGTAACGGTGTTTTAAGACTATAACCAAGTTTGCAACCAATTCATCGAGGGAAAAACTATCTTCGGATGAAGTTTTCTGTAATGGAAAGTCACTCTAAATTCCAACCGTGTGAACAGAATTACATTACGAATTTAGATTGTTGAAATGCTGCCTTGAAGATGCGTTTCCATTGACCCCTTCACCTTTTTGTCTCAAGAAGTATATCATGGCTTTTTTGATTAAAATAACTTCCTTCGGGGTATTTTTGTTTGTATAGACTATTCTTTTAATACTGTTTTTACTCATACCCATTGTTTGTTCAAAAACTGCATTTTATAGAAGTCATTTCTGTTTTTCAGTTGTCACGTTTGATTTGTTTTAGTGTGTGTTATTTTTTTAATTTATTATTTTCAAAGGTATTTACCTGAAATCACGTCCAATCAATTTATATTAAMACTATTTTTTTATTATCAAAAACCCTATCTTCATGTTCTATTGAATCACATTTAAGTTGTGCCTTCCAGAACGATATCTATACCCGATACGCTTTGCGAGTATCGCTGGATAAGTAACGCACTTCATTTCAGATCGATCCCTACTAACTAATTCGAAAAGTAACATCCGATTCCGTTTCATCCATATCATACTTCGGTATGCACGAAAAAATATGACTCCGTCAACGTCAACTTTGTTCCGAGGCCCTTTATCATTCCTTTGGGGATGATGGAAGGACTTGATAATGAGAATACATAGGTATTCTATAGAATGCACTGTCTAGAGTGCAAGTCACATAAGCATGAAACAATTCTTAACTATGTAGTGCTAAATAAGATTTAGTTATCAACTAACTAAGAATTGAGAACAATGCTACAAAGGAATTTAAATAATTGGCATTGTGTTTATGCTTTGTTGAATTCTTAGTTAGTTGATAACTAAATCTTATTTAGCAAAAGCAATACATATTAAGAATTGTTTCATGCTTATGTGACGTGCACTCTAGTTTCGTACCCGGGGAGGGGGAGACTCCTTTATAAAAGGGTCGGGGGTCCAGGTCGGAAATTCTGAAAACTTTTCCCCCCAAAAGGGACCTGTATTGTGAGATGATGTGTGTGGCCAGTGCTGAAATTACACCCCTAAGAGGGACCAATAAATAAAATAGGCAGTCGAGGACCGTGCATATGCGACTCAGGCCGTTAAGTCCGTTAAGAGATTTAGTAAACTTCGAATACACTGTCCTCAGTATACAACGTTTTCTGAATAATCTGTATACGCTGCAAGAAACTGGAAACATCACGTGGTGATCAAAAATTAAGTTGTCTATGAATACACAACAGGCGGCGATTCCCAGGGGCAAGGATGGTTGATCATTCCTCCCGTGGGGACTGACGCGGGGCGCCCTGTTTTCTTGCCTAATAAACATATCCGTCTGAAAGATTCGGAAAAAGAATTTTTATCCACGACATGTGGAGCGATCCTTAGAGCTTTATCTAGCTGTAATCAAAGACATCTTTATGTATCTGTTGACTTATAAACTCATGATTTATTCTCGAACGTTCTCCGATGTTCAAATGTTTTTATTATCGAAACCTTACATCCAAGTTTTAAAACTATGTTCCGTTGAATTCCAGCATATATCTGCCTGGTTTGTAAACCGCTTACGTTTGAGAATTTCAAAGAGATTTGTGTCATTTTGTTTATCCGAATACTAATAATGTCTGTGTGATATAAGAACTGTACACCTTTTCCTGTGATGATTTGGAAAACAATAACGACTTGTAGATCACACTTTGTTTGCCCCTTGGCAATCCATGCATGCATTGCGTTTGGCGAGGGATCAAATTACTGGAAACTCATTCATTGAACACCTTGGTGAAAGCCGTCATATTCCATCGAACATCGGTATTCGGCCGCAAACCAGCACTCAGCACCCACCCCACCCCACCCCCATCAAATAATAAATCCACTGAAGAATGATTATGCAAATGTATCGTTTGCTAATTCCCGAGCTGAGCTCTGATTGGCTCGCTGATCCCTAAGGATTTTGTTGACGTCATATATTAGCATACAACTTCACCGAATAGACTACCCCAATTAGATACCAGATATCTACAAGTGTCTTCATAGTACGATGGTCTAAGAGGGTAGCTAAAGGTATGCTCTAGTGGGCGGCTACCCCCTCACTCCCTGGCCTTTTGGTTAAGACTAAGTTTTATGTTCACTCGGGATAGCGTGGAAGGGCCGAAATCTCTCTAACCGTAACGTAAGCCGATTCGCCGCCTCAGCTTCATAGAATGTCTCGGGGGAATCGTCCCATCTTTTTAGTTTTTTTTATTTTCATTATTTCTTATATATTCAGTGGGGGGGGTACATCTTCTCCTGAAGTGAAAGTTCTGAGTTCGAGTCCTGCTTCTGGAATTTCTCTTTTTTTCGCTTGTTTGTTTCTTTTTCGTTTGTTTCTTGTTTTCTTTCCTTTCTCTATTTTTTCTTCTTCTTTTCTTTGATGTTGTTACTTCGTTTGTTTATCTTTAGAGATTTTATTTTTTCAACTTTAAAAAAATATCAAGGAACGCAAGGAACGCCTGCTACAAGTGGATGGTTACGGATCGGTCACTCAACACGGTGACAAAGTGACGAGCGAGAGGCCCCATAAAAGCCTTTCGTCGCAAAAAAATATCAATCATGTATTATAGCAGTTGTGGCTGTTGTTGATCTTATAATGACGGSCTAGGGTTGTCGTATACCCTAAAAGGGACCACAAAACTCAGTTTGTKGGAATTCTCGTCATTATCACCCTAAGTGGGACCAAACTCTGATTTCAAACACTAAAAGGGACGACGAGGACCCCCGCCCTTTTTTATTAGGGAGTCCGGGRTTTCGTATCAACCATCTCATTCCAACGCTAGAGGCAACAAGAACAACCACCACAATTGAATACAATGTAATCATGCCAACACTAATGATGATATGAAGCGCTGCAATGACAGATACATGCAGAAGGCAGTCAAATATAAAACAAGATTTATTTCTTAAAACATCCCTTCATGCTCAACTTTGATCGTCTATGAATTAATTTAATAATTAAAAGTTAAGATGAGACACTGCAGGACGAGTAATTCATCTAGTTTTCTCTATAAGAAAATGGTACAGTCTCGATTCAATGACTGCCGAGATGAATCCAGCTTGGAAGCTCGATGTGCGCGCTCTTAGAGCGTCTAATTTGTACTTGTCATATAGCAAATCCATTTTTAATGGTACTATTCAAGTGYACACGATTTGCGTTTACAACCATTCGTAAAATCCTACTTTTAGTTAACCAAACTATGATAATAATGGCAAAGATGTACGCAACAAAGACAGCAGTAAAAAACACTTTGACGCCTCCACCAATGTACACGGGTCTGAAGCAACATAAAAATATYGTTTTTGGAAATGTAAAAGTGTTATTGCACGCGAAGCCAAGCGAGAAAAGCATTGCTAGTATCCATTGAACAGAGATGACAACCTTTGCTTGACTATGAATGTATCTCGGTGAGCTTCCCTGACGAAGTTTACCAAGAATCCTTTGTAAGACGCGTAGGGATTTTTCCACCATTTTGTTCAAAATGGTTGACGTCCATTGACGGTCTACGCAGTCATTTTTAGTTTTTTTCTTTGACTTTTCACTAGTATTATACCTCGATAATGGTGTTGTTGAAGCTATTTTTGAAGGTAAACTATATAAAACTCCAAACGAAGAAAAYAAAAAGTTCAGTTGCAAGAAGAAATGGCAGTATGAAGTGAGCTCACACGTTGTCATTAGCGACCACCTGTGGTGCTTCGTTAGTGCATGAAACTCGAGAGGAAATGCGATTCTTGTCGACAAAAGTCGCTGAAAAACTGCCAGAAGAGCCAGCGAAAACACCAAATTATCATGGAATATGGAGCTGAACTTGAGATATCCGCTTTCTTTAGTTACAACAGCCGACATRACCGCAAAKAGGAAATACATGAAGCAAACAACTAGAACCAATGTGTACCARTTGCTGGAGTAGCAAAGAAAGCTTTGAAAATCCATCATAATTCTTTCAGTAACTCTCTAAATAGTTGTAAACAATCAAATGGATTCAGTTACTTGAGTTATGGTTGTCCCTAAAGCTTTTCAACTTTTCCAGAGTTGGCACTAAACGTCAGTCAATGTACTGAAAACACAGCGAATGTTTGAGAAAGAACTTGAGTTGGCTCGATTATCAATAGCCGGAACTCATAATTCAATGAGTAATTACTGTAAAATTGGAAGATGAAAATGAACACTTAGCTTGCTGTCAAATCAATACATTTAAGACATTAAAACTGCCATGTTATTGAGATTTTTTCAGTGATAAACTTATTTATTATTAAAGCCTCTTAACATGAGCTGGTGATCTCTGATGTTGCCGGGCGCGGCAATCAGTTCATGAATCTGTTTTTCGATATAACTCCTCGAGATTTATATAAAACGAAACKCATTCATGAAATGCTTTTTTGTCAATATYTTCCGAGCATTTTCCGAGCAGAAATCGACTCACTGACAAATATCAYCAMAATATCGATTAYGGCTTCATAGGCTTGACAGTTCAAGTGCCAGATCATTAATTAAGACATGTACAAGTTCTCCTTGGTCGCACTGAAAACACAGGAAGCCCAAATAGAGAGATMCATCAATGTCCTTTCCCACTCGATGAGAGCGCGTTACGAGTCACTCTTCTCATTGGTGTATCCCGATGCTATTCCCATTCTCCCTTCCTTTGCTTGACACACGGCCGTCTCACCRAGATTCTGTTCCAGTCCTCGCCAAGATCTTGTAGCAAGAAATTCAGCTGTAGAGAGTAAAGTAAGCCAAAATTAAATGGAGCACGTGAGGTAGATAAAAGCCTGGGGACAAGATTAGCACGTGGGGTAGTAAAAGGGCCTATGGATGAGGTTGGCACATGGGAAGTCCAGGTTTCTTGTTGACAATTCTTGCTTCTTCAAAACTGAAATCACCTTGAGCAAKGATTCAAGTTTGTGAAGATCATCGCGCACAAGTGTGTAATAGCGCGACTTTAGATATTTTGGTTCAGTGACCATGCACAAAAGAATTGCAGACGAGGCTCCGGGGAAATAAAAGAATAAATCAAGATTATCCATTGTTTTCCCGGAGCCTCGTGTGCGGTCTTTTGTACATAGTCATCGAACCAAAATATCTAAAGTTGACTATTCGATATACCAAGCGCCTTAACCAATCAGTGTGAAGCTTATTAAAGAAATTTTTTAGAATTCTTGGGACCCCCTTATCAGCTATGTTAACAATATGAGAGGCAATGACATCGATGTGTTGCAAATTAGATACAATACTGATGAATAAAACATCAGTTTTTGATGTAAGTTCTTCTACAGGAATTTATTAAAATTCCTACTAAACTAATAGATATAACAGATAAAATACATGCCTGCATTAATGTGGTGCTGGGTGGAGATTRCTGATTCTTGGTTTCTCTCGACAAGCGATGTAGAGCTTTGCTCTGAAAATAGAGCCAGTTCAATATCAGCAACTCTTGCACAGAAACAGGACAAAAAAATGCAAAAATCTTGAAAAATAGGTCAACCTCGTTCCCAGGGCTTTATCCCAAGTGAAGGGATAAGGCCCTGGGAACAAGGTTGAAAATAGGCACTCCTGCGTTATCATGGCAACCAGGACAGGAAGACCAAAAAGATAATCTGTTCAGTTTGAGTAGCCAGCAAAATAGACTAAATTATCCCCACTATACCTTCATCTTTTGTTCTGTAGTTAGGTCTCATTTCTCCTGTTATAAGWGATATTTCTGGTGGGCTGTCCTCGTCAAGATTTTCCTAAAAAAGTACAGTTGCCATCTTTTATTTTATGTTCACAGAAAACTGAGTTTTTGTATTTTTTATAATAAGTCAATAAATTACAATAATTAAAATAATTAAAATAAGTCAATACCTTGTCGTTGAGATCCACTGAATGACTTGCACCTGAACAAAAACAATTATTTATCAGATAAGAATTATAAATCATAAATTAATTATCAATAGTTAATCAATAATGTGTCTACAGCAGTAGAGCTCCAAGTTCAAATTTCTTTGAGAAAAATAAGGTCATTTGCCCAAACATAAGATTTACGCTCTGAGTTTTTCTTATCATCTCTTTCCTGATTAGTTCTAAAATGATTGTGTGCACTGTGACATTTAAGGTGTTTATTGGTAGCCATTTAGAAAAAGGGTATATTTGGGCAATGTTTCACAGTCTTTTGTACAAGAAACTAAAAGCATAGCAAATTTTGGCAATTGTTTGAACCTGGTAATAGTTGTCTGAAGTCTGTGATATATTTGCCAGTCCATTCTTGAGTTCTGTGAAAAATTAAACATATTGGCACAACATTAGATTTAAAGGAAGTTACAAAAGATAGCTTTTCTTTATAGTATGCTTTTTTGGGCTTCCTGTGGAATAGGAGGAAGGCACAGGAAGCCCAACAAAAATGAGGCATAATGTCTTAGACTACCAATATACCTGAGACATGCAATCTCCATCTCGTATGGGGTGACAATGGGTTTGTAAAACTCCTAGTAAAAGTAGTTTGTTAGAGAATCATAATTCGTCTGAGAGTTTTTTTCAATTGACACAATATTTAAGGCTGGTTTATACAATTTATTAAGAATTATTCTTTAATTATTATTACCTGGGAGTCAATCATAGTGTTTTCAGGACACGCAACAAGAACAAAGACATCTATCTCCATGAAGTTTGCCATCTTGGGAACATTAAGTTTGCCCATCACAAATGTGTAATACTATAAAAAACATTAACAAGATACAAAATTTGTCTTAACCTATCTATGACATAGTAAAATACTTATTGCATTTGTTACCTTTTTACCAGCAATACTTAAAACCTTCTTTAGTCTTTCTATAACATCTAAATAATCCGCTGCAAGACATATTTTTCATGATATAATGCATGTACTTGCTTTCTATACTTAAAAACCAAYCAGGGACACGGAAAGAGGTTTCRTGWCAAGGGTTCCACAGATTGCAGTTTCAAAACTGTTTGAAAAAGGCTTACCTACACCAAGGGTYCCAATAGCTATACCAACAACCTGTGCGTCCTTTGCTTTTTGTATCATGTAATATCTAAAGAACAATAAATTGAAATGATAAACTATAATTTCCTGATGAAAATGAGAAATGTTAGACTGCCCAATGCAATATTGTTGTTGGACAGCCCAACCTTTACCATAGTGATAAATTTAATGATATATTATACACTGTAAAATCTACAAATAATAATATATATCACTCAATTTTACTCTCTATAACTGTGCCAATCGTTAAGTGTTATCTGGAAGTCATTTCTCAAATACACACTCCTGAACATAATTYTGCCTGGCTATGGCTTTGTGAGCAATTTTTTTGTTTTTGTTTACCTTTTCATTAATGCTCTATTCACATTCAAAGTTTCTTTTCTGGCTTTATTTGTTTCTGGATCATATGTAATAAACTAAAAGAACAAGAAAACTGTCATGTGATATCCAGTGCTTAAGCCAGAAATATTGCCTTTTAGTATAAATATTAATATACTAAAAGGCAGGCTAGAAAATGAAGGAATTTCTCTATACCTGACATTTGTTGTAATTCATAATCAGATTTGTTAAATGAAGACTTTGTTGTCCAATATAAAATACTTGATAATCATCTATAACATCTCCACTGGGTAAGGTAAATTCAAATCCAAACCTGGTAGAGAAATAAAGACTTTTATGAATGGGTAGTTGAATGAATGGATGGAATAGAGAAAGAAAGAACTGATGGATGGTTTAAAAGTGAATTGGAGGAAATGACTGAAAGGATGGATAAGTGGATAAATGGATGAATGAATGGATGAACATTTAAATGACAGAACAAATAAATGAAATGAATGAATGAACAAATGGATGAACAAATGGATGGATGGATGAACAAATGAATGGATGAACAAATGGATGGATGAGCAAATGAATGGATGAACAAATGAACAAATGAATGAATGAACAAATGGATTTACACACTTATAAATGAACAAAAACTAAATGGCCAGATAAATAGAAAATATACCTTTTAAAAATATTCCCATTTATTTCCCTTTTTTCATCCACATTTTGTTGAAGATTATGATTTAATTCAGCTACAGCACTGATAATATTAGATGTTGATTCTATCTGTGTTACTATTAAGTTTCTGTAGTGAGATTGAAGCTGTTGGTGAAGATATTCTAACAAAAGAATCATAATATTTAGATGAGAAAACATTGTCCTTATGCTTAAGGCCCATGTGCATTTTTTCAAGTATGGAAAATTCACCATTGTTAATTTTGAACCAACCAGAAAGCACCTTTCATCAAGGGATTACTTGTAAAACAAAAGAAAGGATCGCAAAGGTTTATGGGTGCACATTGGCCTTTACTATACTTGGGAATTATGCAAGTGCTGCAATCTCTCATGTTTTCATCTCTTTATTCAGACGAAGGATTAACACCCAAAACATCAGTAAGTTATTTCACATACTTTTTTTACGGTGTTAAATTTGTCTTTTTACACAACTGTTTCTTTAGAAACACCGACACTGCTAGTTTCTACCAATTTCTCATTAGCTTACCAATGGAGTGAGCATAGACGACATCATACATGAGAACCACTTTAGTCTGTTTGTCTTCGACAAGTTGCTTGAAATGCTCAATACACTTTGCGACATCAATAGAAAATTTACCAAACACATAATAGACTGGGAGTCTTCTGGTACTGAAATATAAAATCAAT